GTTCATATCCTTTGCCCATTTTTTAATTGGATTATTTGTCTTTTTATTGTAGAGGTGTTAGATTTTCCTATAGATTTTAGAGATTAGACCTTTGTCGGATATGTCATAGCCAAAATTTTTTTGCAGTCTGGAGTTTTTTTTTTTTTTTTAACCCTTTTGGTGAAGTCTTTTGATGAACCTAAGTGTTTAATTTTTAGGAGATTCCATTTATCTAGCTTATCTTCCCGTGTTTGTGTATTTTAATTATGGTTTGTATGCTATTAATGTCGTATATTAGGGCCCCTAGTGTCGACCCTATTTTTAATTCCATGAACTTTATAGTTTTTGGCTTTATATTTAGGTCTTTAATCCATTTTGAATTAGTTTTGTGTGTGATGTGAAGTATAGGTCCTGTCTCATTTATTTACAAGTGGACGTCCAGTTTTGCCAGCACTAGAATTTGCATTTTCTAACAAGTTCCTAGGCGATGCTAATGCTGCTGGTTAGGGACCAATTCTGAGAACCACAAGTGGAGCAGTGATTCTCAAAATTTATTATTCATAAGAACCACCTGGGGATCTTGTAAAAATGTAGATTCTGATTCAGTATATCTGGAGTGGAAATGAAATTATCAGCAGGGGTTCGAACTGGAACGAACCAGTTCCAAGCCCTGCTTTGAAGGAAGACGACTGGAAAGAGAGGTTGGTGGCGGCAATCTTCATCACTTCTCCATTCACGCTTTCGCCCTCTAGCCTGCCCCTCCCCACCCAGTGACCCCGCCCTGCTTCACCCACCCACCTCCTGGACTTGCTTTCCTGCGGCTGCTTTTCCGAGCCTCGGTCGTTGTCTCTCCTCCCGCCCCTCGGCAGCTCCTTTTCTGGCTCCTTTGCGCTCCTGAGGCGGGGGGATTCCGGGACTCAGGCCCGGGTTCTCCCCACTCCCTGGGAGACCTCATTCGGTCTCGGTGTCCATCTCCTACTGGGTGCACCTAGGTTTCTCCCAAAGGGGCCCCGCTCCCCGCCTCCCCTGGTGACCCCTCCGTGCTTTTAGCGCTTGCATTCTTCTTTGCCTCTTCTTTCTCTCTCTCCTCAAGGGCGATCCCTCAGCAAATTCTGCCAGCTCTGTCCTCAAAATCTGTCCAGAAGCCTAGCGCTTCCCACACCTCCGCTGCCCACACGTCCTCCCTACTCGGGGATCTCTGCAGCCGCCCCCTGACCGCGCCTAGCGGTCTCCTTCTAGCAGCCCGAGAGCCAGCGCACGGCCCCCTGCCCCAGACCCCAGCGCCCCCAGACCCTCCCTGACACTCCCCACCTCCCAGCCCCACAGGCCTCCCTGCTGCTGCTCGGCCGGGATGGCCCTCCGGGGACCCCGTGGCTCCGTCCCTCGCCTCCTTCAGGTCTCTGTTGGGCGCCACCCTCTCTACAAGGCCGGTCTGATCACCCGGTCAACACCAGCCAGCGCTCCCGGGCTGCTGACCCACCTGACCCTAAACTGTCTGTCCTTTCACTACGGCACGAATGGCTTTCTCCCACACCCCGCAGTTTCCTTCCCCACGGTGTTCACTGTTCCCTGTGGGTCTCCCCGCGCGGATGGACTGCACACCGGGAGGTGGTGGTGCGCAGGCGTTTCGTTCGCTGCTGTGCGCCGGCCTCTGGAAGAGCCCGCACACGTAGGGCTCCATCAGGGTTTGGTCAATGAGTGAACGGTGGAGCAAAGCTGCTCGTCGCAGGGGAGCCGGGAAGACCTTCTGCGAGTCTCCGGCTGCTGCCCTTGAACGCCGCTGCCGGTAGGTAGCGCTCAATGCACGGATGCCGGCCTGCGGGCGGGGCTCCCGGCGTGGGAGGCGGGGCTCCCGGCGTGGGAGGCGGGGCTCCCGGCGTGGGAGGCGGGGCTCCCGGCGTGGGAGGCGGGGCTCCCGGCGTGGGAGGCGGGGCTCCGGGAGGTCTGGAGTAGCCTCTCTCGTTCGCGCTGGGCGGCGGGCGGAAGGTCGGGCTGTACCAGCCGCCCTGGCAGGGGAGGACGGCCCGGACCATTCCAGTGGCGGGGGGCTTAGACACCACAAGTTCTTCCAGGACACGGGTTTCCTTGCGCCGTAGTCTAGCATTAAATTGCTTCCAAGGGAGAAGGGCCATCTCAACGCTTCGAGGCCCCCGCCCGCGCGGAGCGGAGCAGTCCCTCATTTCGGGCTTTTCTTCCCGCTTGGTCCCAGTGGTGCCCGCCAACGGGCGGGGCGGGAGGGGCCCCGGAAGCCGGCTCGTGCACTTCCGGGTCGGGGAGCGCGCGGCGGCGGCGGCCGCGGTGGTAGCCGGGCCTAGTCGTGGCTTTCGTCTGGGTGGCGACGGCGAGCGCCGGGAGCGGCCAGCGGGACTCGAGGGTCCGGGTACGTACGGGGTCGCGTCG